AGGGCCACACGTCCGCCTGGGAGAGGCAGCTGAACGCCAGGCAGAGCCCCGGGTGGGGGGCCCGCCGCCCTGCTTGGCGCCAGTCCTGGGGTTGGCGGGGCCGCGCAGGGCCCGGGTGGGCCCGCAGCAGGGCCCTCCGCCCTCCCGACGCCTCGCTCGGCGCGGGTCCCGAGGCCCAGACTCTTTAACCACCATGCTACCTGGCTGACACCTACATTTTTAATTATTTGCATATATATGATATCTATTTAATAGAATTTTAAATTAATTGCTTTACATTCCTTTGTTGTATTAATATATAAGCAAGTTAGAAGGATGTAAATATCCTAATTTGAGTTTATTTTTAATTCAGAGCTGCTTGATTCTTCTCATAAATCAAAAGTCTCCAATGAGAAAATAACAATTTATACTGTTCGTTGGTTACAGGATTTTTTTTATTTAATTGCAGTAAAATAAAAAATGTACTAGTCAAGCACTTAAGCATTTTCTCCAAAGCTTACAGCTGATGTTTTTGTCAAAGAGATTTTTCTTTTTTAAAAAAATTTGCCAGAGAGCATGTGTACTTGCCAGGGAGACAAAGACAGAAAGAGATGGGGTTTGAGGAAAAGTGAGAAAGCACCACAATGGGGGATGGTCATGCCACAATCCCTTCTTCATTTCTCCTCCCTTTGGGATTTTGAGCATAAATGCACATGCACCCAACATGACTATTTTCAAGTAGCCAGGTCTCGACTTGAACCCCGCAGTTGGCCATATGGCATCTATAGTCACCTTAACCACTATGGCACAGATGGTTCCAAAGAGTTTTTGAATGCTAATTAATTCCTTTCTGGACAATTAACAAAAAATTAAAAGAGCTAAAACAAAGGTAAACTTACTGTACTCTTGAATATTGATATTAATATCTGAAACTTATTTGACTACTGTTTATGGTTGTAGAAACTTTTATTCTGACAGAATCTGGTGCAAAACCTATTGCTTCCTGTACCAGGCACCACCAGACCTGACTGTCATAGTGATAGGTTTTTGGCATTAACTCCTGTTTGGGAACTGACACTATGGTAGGTCGATAACATTCTGGAAAGGAAATGCAGGGTGTGGATGAGGTTTAGTCCAGGAATCTGTGCCAATGTGAGGAAATTAAATGGTATGTTGCTAGTTCTAAGAAGAGTTAACAACAAATCACTACTCCCTCCTTTATTTGCTTTTAATTTTCAGTGTAGAATAAAACAATAATTAAGACTATTAAATTCACATGAGTTGTTTTGTTAAGTGTTTGGTAGCTTCTAGCCATGTTTGGGAATTGGACTCAGTGTAGGAATTGTGATTTCAAAGAAAGTATTCCTTCTTGCCACTACCATCTCCCTGCACCTTTGCTTAAGCACAAGTGATAGGATTCATTGAGTATACTTTTTACTAGTAAAATAGCAATTAATTTTGCCTAGAGGGACTAGTACTCTCACAAAAGTTTTTATGTAGTTAATGTATTAGAAGTTAACAAAAAGAAAAAAAATATATATGTATTTTTTTTTTTCCCCAAGACCAGGCATCTAGTCTAATTGTTGGTGAAAAGGAGCTGATCCTACCCATGCCTGGGGAGGCACCTATCTCCGAAACAGACATCAACTTGGAAGTGTCATTTGCTGAGCAAGCTGTCAATCAGAAAGAGAATGTCAAGGATAAGACCCAAAAGAGCAAAGGCGATGATACCCCGTTAACTGTATGTAGCACATCGTTTAGATGTCACTAAACGTAGGAAATATGGTTTATTTGCTTTTTATTTTGAAAATTTTGAGTCTATAAGAAAGCTTAAAAATAGTATAGCAAACATTCATAGATCCTCGTAGGTTCAAGTTACCAACATTTACAGCCTCTGCTTTTTCTCTTTCTGTGTCTGTATGTGTCATACAATCAGATTTATGCTTGTTTTTAGGTTAACATGGCATATGAAACAAAACACTTATAATTGAACAGTAAAGTGAAAGTTATATTCATACACAAATATATTATTAAAGTTTCCCCAAATGTCACAGTATTGTCCTTTATAATGTTTCCCTTTTCCACTACCATCTGGGGTGTGAACAGGGGTTTTCTGATTTTCGTCTGATTGTTTCCTCATAACTGGACTTCAGTTAAGCATTTTGACTTAACTACTGCGTAGATGATGGTCATGCCTCCGATCTTGACATCAAGGAGGGTCATGGTGTCTGGTAGTCAGTCCCTTTACTGGTGATGGAAATTGGATCACCACTTTGGCTACGGAGGGGTTCATTAGACCTTGCTGTTGGAGAGAAACCTTTTTCTGCGTGTGATTTTGTGATCCTTGAGACTGAGTGAAAATCCTGTTTGTTAATAATAGCCTATTGCTCTGGGTTTTCACCATTCATTCATAACTTGCCTGAAACAATAATTAAACAGGTATTTTTGAGAAATGATGATTTTCTAATTCTATTATTCCTTCTACATGTACCAGCTGTGATCCTTTGTAATAACTGCTTTTCCTTCCTTTCCTCTTTCCGTTTTGAATATTATTATGAACTGATAACTTCCTTTGTCCATTGAGTGTTTTCTAAATCATTATCATTTTCTTTGATGTTCAAATTTACACCAATTTGACCAGCAGAAGGCCCTTCTAGCTGGTTACTGTGTCACATTAACATGCCCTTATCATTCTTCAGTTTTTAGCACAAGATGTTCCAAGTTCACCTTGTAATTTTCTCCTCTCAGTCCTGAGTACATTCATGTCTTTAAAAACTTCCAGGTCCTTTCTGAAGCAAATCATATTCAGAAATCAAACTTGGTGTACTGAGTGTTCTTAATGCTACTAACAGTTTTATAGGTATACATATATATTTTAAAATGTATTTTTAAATTTATTATGCAGAACATCACACATGCACAAGTTAAAATGACATTATAATGAAAACCCAGATACTCCTGACACCACCCCAACATCCATTAACCTACTGCCCATCCTAATTTAGCCATACCCTCATCTAGTTCTCTATTTTGAATTATTTGAAATACTTCTCTGGAATATATTTTATCATCATAAATATTTGTATTTTCTAAAATATAAAAGAATTTTTCAATGTATCACAAATATCAGGATCATTCTGTACAGTTTGTTGGAGTCAAGATCCAAATAAGTACTATATATTGCAGTTGGTCACTGAATCTTTTCAGACTCTTAATCTCCTCTTCCATATTTCCCTTCTTTTTTCTCTCTCCCTCTGTTCTTTCCTATTTTCTCTCCTTCCCTTACTCTTTCCTTTCCTTCTTTCTCCCTGTCCTTCCTTCCTTTGCCCCTTTTTCTTTCTCTCTCTTTTCACCTGCTTATTAAGGTAGAGAATTTCTCCCTCTGACTTATTTTTTGCAATAGAATATGTTCTTCTCTTTATTCTAAGTTGGTTGATTTTGATTGTGACTTCTTTACCAGGAGACTCAGAGTGTCTGGTTGTCTTTATTTTTTCTGTGAAAGTAGCAAGTGCTGACCAATATCTGGATTTGTTCATTTGTTAATGGCTGCAAAATGATGATGTTCTAATAGTTTCTTGTCTTTTTCATTTATTAATTCGGATATTTCTTTCAAGAAAACGTATTTCAAAATGCTTATTTTTACTCTTAATTACCAATTTTCCAAAGTTTTTTTTTCCTAGCATTTTTTTTTTTTTAGAGGTTTTTCCGATAGGGCATGTGTGCTCACAAAAAAGACAGAGAGAGACAGAGAGACAAAAAGTGAGAAATCACACCCTAGAGGGGATGGCCATACCACAATCCTTTCTCTTCTATTCTCCTCTAGGGATCTTGGGCACTCATGCACACACATGCAGTGTGAGTTTAAGCCACTGGGTTCGGAATTCAAACTATGGCCGACTACATGGGAGCCCAGCAATGTAGCCATTACGCCATCTGCTGGTCCCTATTTCCTAGCATTTTTTTATCAGTGACTAGTTGATGCTTCTATTTGTCCTTTAAAAGTATCTTTACTCATTGATGTACACATTTTTTTTTTTTTGGAGAGGTTTTTGCTATAAGGTGTGTGCACTTGCCACAAAGACACAGAGACAAAGAGACAGAAAGCAAGAAATCACCCCCCAGGGGGAATGGCCACACAGTAGTCTCTTCCGCTCCATTTTCCTCTCAGGATCTTGGGCACAGACGCACACACACCCAGCATGAATTTAAGACACTGGGTCCAGGACTTGAACTGCAGTCGACTGCGTGGGAGTCCAGTGACATAGCCATTACACTAACTGCTGGTCCCGAAGTACACATTTTAAAACTTTATTTATTTATTTAAATTTGAGTAGAGAGGGACAGAGAGAGAGAGAAGAGTGAGAGAGAGAGAGAAAGTCACCAGTTCTGGGACTCGAATCGTTGTTCACCATGTAGGAGTCCAGGGCCCTTAATCATCATGCCACTGGCTGACCCCAATGTATACATTTTTGATGTGACCCTAGACAAATTTTCCCAGGCTAATTTGTATAATTTTTGTTGCCAGCCTGGAATGATCTGATTCTGCAAGAAACCCTGATTTCACTTAGCATATTCTTCGTAACCATGACCAGGACAGTAGAGGGATTCATTTTCCTGGACTGCTTATTGCTTTCAGGACTTTCCAGAGGACACAAGTTCACCAGAATACACCTATATCACCTTTTTTCCTTGCTGAGAATGTGGTTCTTAGAAATGGTAGATGATATATTTAGAATATTATGTAATTACTTATTTGTTTTATCCTACATTAATTCACAGCATGCTTAGAATAATGCTAACAGCATTATCAACAGTATGATCATTAGAAAATAATTTAAACTTGTGTTTCTTCAGTTTGTGTGTGTGTATGTGCATGTGTATCTTTAGAGACATATCCCCAAATGAATTTTATACAGTAAAATTATTGTGCTTTGGGTTCTTAGGATGGTTATTGTCTGCATAGTTAAGCCACCAACTGCATAGCTGGTTGGGAAAATATGCTTCATTTTATTTTCAATTTTAAGAAATTTAATTTCATTTTGTAAGTATGGTCCATAAGTCAAATCTAAAAAGAAAGTATGAGGGGACTTCAAAAAGTTCAGGGAAAAATGGAATTAAGATATCAGGTTTTCTTTTTAAAAAAATTTGCTATAGGGTATATGAGCTTGCTAGAAAGATATAAACACAGAGAAAGGAAAAGTGATAAAGCATCCCTTGGGGGGATGGCCATGACACAATCCCTTCTCCTCTTGGGATCTGGGGCATGCACACACATGTGTCTGCCATGTTTTTCAAGGCACTGTGTCCAGGACTCAAACTGCATAGTCAACCTTGTGGGATCCAGCTACCTTAACAACTCTGTCACCTGGCTGGCCCAGAAAAGTTTTTTTTTAACTGATGCAAAAACATGTAAAAACCCATACATAATTTTTTTCATGATGTTTATTTTTCTTGATCTTTTTGAAGACATCTCATATACTGAAATTCTAGCTTCTGTCCTTGAACTGCCACCCTATTCAATCCCTGCTCCTAGAGGCAAGCTTTTGTCAATTTTAATACTATGGTTTATAATTCTGATTGTAGGTAAGTGATAACCTTCAATAGACATTTTCCTTTATCTCTTGATTTTTTTTAACTTAGTATATTCTGGAGATTATATTTCTCCTTTTTATGCATACATTGTACTCTCAAAGTATAATTTATTCAAACAATCCCACCATGATAGACATCTGGGTTGTTTCCATACTTCCTTGTATATTTTTAAGAATCTGTTTTGTATCTATTGAGAAAAGTAAAGGAGTATGCAAAATTTGACATACAGTGATTATTCACACACACACACGCACACACTATCTTCAAGAAAAGTATGTTTCAAAATGACAGTTTTCATGTCAGAAGATGAAAGCGTTTTAGCACCACCAGATGGTGTTGTGTTTAAGGTGTTGGATTACATATGACTGACTGCAGTTCAAATCCCAGAACTGGAAGCTTGAAAAACACTCTGGGCATATATGCACGAATGCCCAAAATCCTGAAAAGGGAATGGAGGAGATGGGATTGTGGTGTGACCATTCCCCTGGGTGGTGATTTCTCAGTTTCCCTCTCTCTCTCTCTCTGTGGTGCACACAAGTGACATATAGCAAAAATCTAAAATAAAAACTAAAACAAAACCCCAAAAATGGAAAGATTTTTTAAATCAAAGGAGAATTGAATCCAATGAAACAAAATAAGACACCGCTGACTTAAATCAACTCAAAAAATGGAATAAAATATTTATCTCCACTTGAGAGGTTTCCCAACAGAACTTTTTCTGCCAAACTAGTTAAATTAGCTAAATTCTTTAGTACACTAGTTTGTATTCACTCACCTTATTGAGTTTATGTTGTATCCCTAATTTAATACAACCTCTCCTATTCCACCCCTCACTGGTTCCATATTTGCCAAAAAAACCTTAATGCATCCTTCAGAAATAATATCTAATTTTCTTGTTGAGTCTTTCCTGTTTGTGAACTTACAAACAGGAATCTATAAAAACATGCTTTAAACTATTTGGTAGTATGTTTTTGATATTGAGTATCACTCTATTCATTTGTTTATGTATAGATCTGTCTATTCATCTATATAATCATTTTTTTGCCTATATGCTTTTGAGAAGGGGTGGACATGTTTTAAAGTTCTTATAAGTCCATAGCATGAGTGATGAAGTGAATATTTATATGCTCTACTCTTAGGCAGGTCCCT